GTATCTCCTTGTTACACCCCTGCTGAATCTGAAAGTAAATTCAAATGAGGAGGAGCGTTTATTTTTGAGCATGGAGACAGCTGCTGAAACGCGGGGTGGACTTTCCACCTTGCTCGGCGGGGTTTGGTGCAATGCGAACCGTGTCAGATAGTACGGCGGGAACCTCCCTCTCCTCCTATCGCGACTCGACGGCACAGCAGCGGCTCCAGCGCCGGCCGGCCGGGCTGCCGTCCTCCGACCTCCCGCTCCCAGCATCGCCGCTCCGCCACTGACTGGTCCCCGCCCCGGCAGCGGCAGGAAGAGGCGGAGGAGGAGGGGGGAGAGCCTGCATGTGTTTCCCCGTTCGGCGATGTGATCAGCGGGGAGGCTCTGGCTCAGGATCCGCTACGTCAGACAGATTAGTCAAATAACCTCTCGGGGTAGGACATACCTCCTCCTCCTCCTCCTCCCCAACCCACCCACCTCGGGCTTGCCTCGCTTGCTTGCATGCGTGAGACAGACAGCGCTGACTGATAGCCAGAAAGCTGGGAGAAATAACAAAAAGTGCACCACTTTTCTTTTTCTTTCTTTCTTTTTTTTTTTTTTTAAGTGTGAGCCGAGTGGGGTTGATCCTCCGCCGGCAGCGTCTCCCCATCTCTCTCGTCTCCACCATCCTCCCTCCTCCTCTGATCCGCTGATCCTCTGCTCTCCTCTCCTCTCCCACCAAGCCCGGTTCGAAATGGCGAAAGAAAACGGCGAGTCCAGCGACGGGTCTTGGAAAAAGGACGTAGATGACATCAAGAACATCTTTGACTTCAAGGAAGTCCTCGGAACGTGAGTACAGGCGACGATCACAAAAGTTTGCAGACAGAAGAAGAAAGAAAGAAAAAAAAACCTGCCACATTGTGGCGTTTGAACGGAAACGAGAGAGCAGAGTCGTTGCGCTGACAGACAGCTGTTGAATATCGCCTTTTAAACTTCTCCTTGCTCTCGTACAGATCGTCTCCAAACGCCCCATCGGCTCGTTTCTCATTCATAAGACGTGCTGCGTTACGATGGGAAAGCGCCGCTTTATTGCGTCTTTTCATTAAGAAATAATAATGATAATAATAATCAAACAAACAAACTGCAGCAGCTTGTTGTTGGGGATCGTCCACCCAAGACTGAATCCAGGGGCTTTTGTAGCTGGCAGCCATTTATTTAACTGTGCTCGCTTTTGCAGAGCGGCGCCTATTTGCATACACAAAACTAGCAAATGATAGCGACATGCATGCAGTCATCTGCAGGGACTTTGGTGCTCTGTCACTTTCTCTCCTCTTCAGGAAGGAGGGGTCGGTGGAGGGTGCAGGTCTGAGTTGAGAAGCGTTCATGTTTGGCTCCATGGTTTCCTGACCTTCTCACTGACTCAGGGCCGTCAACTTTTCCTTATGTTGTCACATTTCAATCACGGACTAAAAAAAGCATTTTATTGGGAATATATGTGCACAGAGCAACGGGAAATATGTAAGTACAGCTCTGGGGAAAAAAATTATTAAGAGACCACTGCAGTGAACCCCGTTGAAAACCTCGTGGTTATTCCACCAAATGTTGATTTCTGAACTCTTCCTGAGTTAAAACAGTAATGTTGTTGTTTCTAAATGATTGTGAACTTGTTTGAGGTCTGAAAGAAGCTTCAAGAAGATCAAAGGTGCAACTTTATACTTTCTGAGATGATAAAGTCTCACCGAGAGCCTCTATTATGTATGCAGACACATAATAGAGGCGCCTCTGTTATAGATGTAGACGAAGGCACTAGACTGACAATGATGACGCTGCACATCAACCTTGACCTCAATACTCCTAATGGAGAAAGACGGTGGTGGCGGTATCATCCTGCGGGGATGCTTCTCATCATCGGAAACAGGAAAGCAGTGCAGAGCTGATGGAGCTACAGTGAAGCCAGAAATCATCCAACTTCCTGGTAAAAAGGAATCTCTTAATTTTTGTCTCTTCTGGCTAAAAGTCATATCGAGATTCCCGGTGGGAGTCCTGACTTTAATCTGTTGGATTATCTGTGGCGGATGTAATGATGAACGTGACGGCAAACAGGCCTTTCCAGCCTTAAAGACTTTGAGCTCATCACCAAAGTTAAATAGTGAAAGTAGCAGGGAATAAAGGAAAAAGCTATTCAGCAATTATAGGAAAGATTTGATTGTTGGAATGCCAATATTTACAGTGATTATTGAGAAGTACATTTTTTAAATTCTGCTCTCATGTTGGTCTGTCGCATTAAAACCCCAATTAAATTCACTAAAGTCTGTGGTTGTGGTGTGACCAAAAGGGAACAAGTTCAGTGGGTGAGTACTTTTCTGAGCAAGACACTGTACAGCTGTAAACAGTTATGAGAACCGAGGGCCCCTTTAGATCAAGTTTTTTTTTTTTTCTTTTTTGTCTCTCGAAGCACAGAGCAGTCAAATTCCAGAGTTTATTTTTGTCTGCAGCGAGCACAGCCTGGTTTTATCTTTTTAAAATCAGTAACGTAACACAGACCCTACCAGAGTTCCTCTGAAGCCCAACTCAGACTGGCGATGGTTTAAGGTGCTAACACACATTTTATGTCGTATTTCTGTGGCCCATTTTGTCCCTGAAGACACATCCGTCCAGCTCATGGCTCATGTCTGAGATTTATTGCAGAGGAAGAGAGCTCCCTATGGGAATTGGCCTGTTTTTTTTTTTTCCTTTCGTTTTGGCCACAAAAACTGGCTGTAAAGCATCACAGAAATGCCCTGCATGCTTACAGCTGAACCACTGTTAAGAAACGAGAAAATACACTCATCCCTCTTAGTTTTCTGCCTCCTTTTGGCTTTTCTAAGCAACAGCGCCGAGCATGTGCCGCAGTTTTTTTTTTTGTTTTTTTTTTTTTTAGGGAGCAACAGCAGCCGCATCGCAAAATCCTCATCCAGATGGCTGATTCACAAAGTCAGACTCCACGCTCCAGCTGTCTGACGGAGCGGTCAGTCGCTCCTACCTGCAGGGCGGCTCTGATTTCCCCCGGGCTTTCACCTAATGTGTGTGAGGAGTGTGTGACTAACGCAAGCCGAATCGCAGGCCAGGTGGAAAGAAACGCCCACCGAACACCCAGGTCACGTCTTCTCGTTTGCTTGGCGCCTGGCTCGCGCTGCGGCCCAGTTGTTCCCGGGTCTTAATAAGAGAGAGGCTTGTCGCCTCACAGCGGGGCTCACAACAGGACACCTGGGTTAGTAAAGCCCAGCAGGCCTGCAGCTTTGCCCGAGGATTAAAAACGGAAGAGGAAGGCCTGCTGGCCAAAGGGGGAGACAGATTATCTTCTTCCTCTCCTTCCTCTCCTTGCTCCACTTAGGTTGGGGTAAATATGTAGGGCAAAGCGTGGTTAGCGTTGTGCTCTTCGCTAAAGCCTGTGATGTAATTTAATTAATTTTTTTTTTTACATGAAATTAAGATGAAGGGCAAACCTGACCATCATCTTCATCAGACTGTCACTAGCTGAGTTTCCATTAAGCTCAGCTAGAATTGCACAAATTGAAATTATGAGAATAAATTTGCTTAATGGAAACACTCGGATTTAAAAACAAGTTAAAAGCCGGATGTTACTACTGGCGAAAACCACGAAGAAAGACAAGAGGAAGTAGTCTTCTTCCTGGTTCGTAGTTCCACAATAGCTCTCTTAGCATCACACTCTTCATCAAAAGTTGTGTGTTATTTGAAAGCGTTGAGTCCATTGATCTTCTGTAAAATCCCAGATTACAATTTCCCCAAAACGCTGCATATAGAGCAGCCTTTGTCGCTCCAATGCCTGAACAGGACACCTCCTCTGAGCTTTAGCGCCACGAGTATAAGTGTTTACATCAGTTGCCGCCATATTTATTAGTGACTTATTGCGTGTAAGCACTTCTTCACATGTGATTTTAATTGCGTTTCTTATTATTTAATGGAAACACCGCAACTGCCAAATTGTATTCTTTCGACATCAGCAGACTACACAGAAAGATTTGCGCGTATTTATTGAAAAACCGCGTCTTCAGTCGGAAGCCTCTTCAAATGCGTTGTGATACGGACCGCTACAGGAGATCTTTCCGCCGTTCACCGTCCACAGCAATTCTTTAAGTAAATGAGCTACAACACTTAATTTCCCTTTGGGATCAATAAAGTATCTTTGAGTTTGGAGGACTGCGAAATGAGCTGCTCGTTTTGCAAAAGGAGAGCCCGATCCCGATCAGCCGAGTGCTGCTGCTGCATGTGCGTATTTGCGCACCGATTAGATATTGATGGCGGTCGAACAGGAAGCCAGGGTGGGAAGGAGGGCGGGGGGCAACCGTGCCATGACTGCTTTGGCTGCTCTTCTCCCACGTGTGTCTTGCTGTAGCGTTAATGAGCTCTCCGTCACTGAATCTAGGCCCTGTCTTGCCTTGGAGCTAATTCCAGCCCCTTAAGCTGCTGATGCTCTGAGGAGGCAAGTTAAGTAAACCAACCACGAGCACGTTCACAGATCCCCAGTGGGCAAAGTGTTGTGAAGCCGACGCTCCAGCCACGGCTGCCTCTGCAGGCCAGAGATCTTAAGAGCATCGCTCCAGGTATCGATTGGAATCTGGAGGCTTTGTCTTCTGCGATTAGCTTCCCCCAGTAAGAAAGAGTCAGGAAATAACAGAGTAAATATTTTATTGATTGGGGAAAAAAAAAAAACCTGTCCAGCATTGAAAATGAAACTCCTCTTGCAGGTGCATCATTTTTTTTTGTCATCCACAAAGCTTTTTTTTTTTTTTTTTTAAGTTAAAATCAGAAAATTGTGTGAAATCCTCAATTTTTTCAAACCGAGTATGAAGCGTCCCTGGGGGATACGAGTGGACGCACAGTCATTATGACACCTTATGTCGGAAATGACTGTATTTCAGGTGTAAAATGAGCAAAACAGCAGAGGATGAACACTTCAACAGTTTTGTTGCTGCAAATACTACAGTAAAGTAAAACCTTGATTATGTGATCTGAAATCATTCTGCCCTTTCAAGTGAAACATTTGCTGTGTTGTTTGTGGTTAACCCCACACCATGCTTCACTGTGGAGGAAGGCCCTTTTTTTATGTAAATCTCCACATTTTATTCCCACAACCTTGGAGGACACCCCTGGAAAAAAAGACAAAACCCAAACCACTTTGTTCATTTCGACACATTTTGGACTTTGTCTTGATCTTTTCACATTCTTTCAGCGCATTGCCAAAGCTGTCTAGACTTCAGAGCGAGTTGGTACCGATCCAAGAGTGAAACGTTCTGCTCTTCTTGGGAGCTGAACACCGGTGTCGTCATCTCGGAACGCCGTTCCTGCAAGGAATAAACAAATCCAGTCAATAGATTTTCATCATAAGTAGGATTTTAAACTCCTCATTGTATTTTCTGCTAACCTCACATTTCGGTTTTTAGGCATCTAATGCCGTAGAACCTGTTTACTGGACGTACGCACAAGTCCTAACACCCCCGCGGTATTTTCGTTTTTTTAACATCGGACGACCTTTTAGGGTAAATACCTGGAGCTCTTTTTGTGCTGTTTGTATCTTCGCAAACCTGAACTGTTTCTGCAGTCTCCTTGTTTTTTGCTTGTTCTGTCGTTTGGTGCAGCCCCATAAGTGGACTGATTTAAACACTATAAACTTGTCGAAGTGTCTATCAGATCTCGGGAGCTGAACAGCTAACCACCACTTTAGAGTCTCATAATCTCATTTGTTGTGAAGCTGTTTATCTCGCCTTTCTGTCAATGCAATGAGCGGTTCTCTCTCTCTGGACGTGTATTTTGCTCTTCCGCACACAGAAATCTGGCCTCTTCCCTCT